GAGAACTCGACGCCGGAGACTTCGAATGCCGCTACAAGGCTCCTATTGATGTGATACCGCTGCTGTGCTGCTCCCTCGCAGCAGTCAATGCGAGCGCCGACAGAGGCATCTCCCTCGCCACTGCTACAATTAGATAGTGGCGAACCTGCTTCTTTTGATGTCCCAACTATCTAAACCAGTTTTGGGTAATTTAGGGTGGTTTGGGGATTTGAGATGGTCACAGATATGGTGGTGCTACAGGTGGTTGGTGCAGGTGGTGTTGGATATGGCAGTGGTGGTGAGGTGTTGGTTTTGGTGAGAGGTGGTAGTGGTGTTGATGGTTGTTTAGTGGTGGTGGTGCGATGGTAGTGGTGCAGGCTGTTATTGGTGGTGGAGGATGTTTGTGGTGCGGTGTGTGGTGGATGTGTACGATGGGGTTCGATGGTGGAGGTGTGCTAGTGTTGGGAGAGATTGTGGGTTTTAATAGGCGGCAGTGGCGCAGTGTTTGATTGGAGGTGGTGGTGGTTGTTGGAGCAGGATGGTGGAGCTGCTGGCGGTGATGGTGAGGTGTTGATGGTGGCAGTGATGGTGGATCTGGCTGCGGTTTTTATGTGGTGGTGTAGGTGGAGGTGTTGACAGCGGCGGCGACGGTAGCAGGGTGAGGATTGTTGCAAGTGGCGGTAGTGTTAGTGGTGGTAGTTCGTGACTATTTGGTGCATGTGACCAATTATTTTGGTTATATGTGACCAAATATTAAACCGTAACCTTAAAATTTGATAACTTGTGACTGAGAAATAATTTGTGACCAACAAATTTAAAAATCCGTGAACGATAAACTTTTGACTGTAAATTTTTTTAGTTTGTGACCAATGAAATAGATTGTGAAATAATTTGGGTATCCCGTGACTAAAAATAACATGTGACCGATAAATTGTGACCAATAAATAATATGTGACCTAAAAATTTGAATTGTGACTTATGAAGTTTGCGGTTTGTGACCGATAAATGAATTGTGATTTATAGTGACCTACAAATTTTTTGATCTGTGATCAATAAACAGATTGTGACCTATAAAATTTTTGAGTTGTGACCGTAAAATAATTTGTGACGTAAAAAATTATGATTTGTGACCGAAAAATAATGTGATTAACTAAATTGTGAATATGTGAATGTATTATATAAATCTGTGACGGTCACAGGAATAGTCATCGGAATAGTCATCGAAAAAGTTAGCCAGAACGATCGCCGGAGTAGTCGACGGAAAAGTTAGTCGGAACGATTGCCGAAATAGTCCCCGAAGCAGTTCGGGTGGTGGGGGTGGGGTGAATTAATTA